TCTTATTCAGGCAAACAGGGCAGAATAATTTCCATGCTGTATGGGATCATTACTCCCATGCTGAATCCTATGATCTACAGTCTGAGAAATAAGGAAGTTAAAAAAGCATTGTACAAAGCCTTCAATCTGAAAAGATTTTCATAAACATCTCTTTTCTTTCCTTCTTTAATGATCAAGATATGTTAAGATTTTAAGGCATTGTTTTTGTTTTCCTGATCTAGCCATATTGTCACTGTAATGAGCCTAGGTGAGCACTAAGATTGCCTGCTTTTGTTCAATATTTGTAATGGTATATGGAAAAGAACTTGGGAAATTAGGCAAAGAGAGATGCCAAGAGAATGGTCAGCTAAGAAACAACATAGTCCGCAATTGGATAGTGGGAAGGGCAGAAAGCATAGATGAGACACTCCTTTGCTTGTAAAGAAAATGGGGGGGGGGGGGAATACGTACTTTCAGTGTTGCAAGATTTTGTCAATGTACTTAGAAATAATCTCATCTAGTTGTAATGGTTTGCCCCACAAGGCTGACAATATTTCTCTTTTGGTCTCCATAAGGAGAGAACCAGTTTGGTGTGGTGATTAAAGCATCAGGCCAGAAAGTGGGAGACTATGATTTCTAGTTCTTCCTTAGGCATAAAGCTAGCTAGGTGGCCTTGGGCCAGTTATTTTCTTTCAGCTCTAAGAAGGAGGCAATTGTAAACCATTTCTGAAATCCTTGCCAAGAAAATTGCTGGGACTTGGCAAAGGGGAGGCTGAAGGTTTTTGCTTTTGTTTTAGAACCATCCATGCCTTATTAGATATTAGAACACATATACATTGTGATGTAACTGTACTTATAATGCAATGTTGCAACAGTCCAATTCTGTAATCCTAATTGACATTCTCACTTTTAGGTGAGCTTCCTTCTGCTCTCTATTGAAAAGAAGGCAATGTGTGATAAATGTGATTTCCTTCCCTCAGAATAAATGACTGTTGTAATGTTTATGGATCCATGGTATTCTTCTACCAACGTTTGCTGTTTAAATAACAATAGCTTGATATCTTAATGGATGTTCCTCTTTTGTCTTAATTTTTCTAAGAACACATGAAATTTATGTGAACTACACAAAAGTGAGATAAGCTTACGTTCTCATTATATGTCAATACTCCTCCCCAGCCCCTCCATAATTCTGATTTTGAGTGGGAATATTAACATCTATTCCATCCCAACATAACACTGTTGGTGAGAAAGTTATTGATTAACTGAGATTAATGTGCTTCTCATGTTAGATTGCACAAATCTGCTACTGTGCTGAAAATTTCAGACTCCAGTTTTTTTCATTCCTTATTTCCTCACTGACCATCTGTGATTGTCTTTTCTAGAGCTTGAGATAGAGACGATATCATAACAAAATGTGAGAATGTACACAATGTTATTGAGTGAGTGTCTCTTCCGGAGTCACTGCTGGTTTTGGAAGTGAAAAAATCTGGAGGGGGGGGGGGCGAAAGAGGAAGTTGGGGATGAGACAGAAGAGAATTTTAAAAAGCTATATTCTAATTTATTCAAACTCTGTTTTACATATACTGTATATATACATATTCGTTTACATAAATAAAAGATAAACATATAAAGAGAAATTAGAAAAGGTATTTTAAAAGTGTAAACAAGCAGTTAAAAAAGAAATGTAAAAATGTTACTTTCAATTTTTGAAGCAGTTATAATAAACTAATTATCCTTCCTCCCTCTTTCTTATTACATTACAAAGGTTCCTTCTATCCTGTATTCAATCAGTTTTACATTCAGTAAATCAAGGAATCACCATTCCACTCCCACCCTATATTCAGTAATATGTTTCAAAATAGATTTCCAGTTGGTACCTGAAGTTGCCTTCCTGATCCAGAAATATTTGATCATATTCACCCCCCATCTCCAACCTATACTTTCTTGGGAAAGTGATGACTCAATTTCAACTTTGAGAAAATTAATTATCTTGAGATCTAATTGCAGAATAGAAATGGTGTCAGTCACTCTAGTGGATGAAGCTTGTCAGGATAGGGATGAAGAAAGAGATCCTTCTGGTTCTTCTGGTTGTCCCAGGATTGAACATTCTCCTCCATGCTTTTTCTTGCCATGTTGTATGAAACCATCGGGGG